CAGTGGATATTTTAATATTTCTACATGGTAACAAACTGGGAGAAGAGAACAAAGTGTCAGCTATGATGAATAAGTAAGCAACAGTACTGACCAACTTGTTAAGCACAACACACATAGAACAAGAGTATAAAATGCATACTAATACTTCTTCAGTTCAAACACAGATATCTACATATATGAACATGTACTGAGCCATGAAGTAAGACTCAAAAATTATTCAACATATTCTACATAGAATATTCTCATATTATTATGTAATTATTCTATGAATTAGCCAAAAGGCATCTAGAAAATCCCCATTTCCTTGCAAGTCATGAAGTGTAAGTTACTAGGGTGGTGATAACAAAAGCTGAGGAGAGTCGGAGGATAATGGGATCCCTTAGAGTCAGATAGGAGTGAGTAGGGGAAGTCCAAATAGTTATCCATTGTACTGTTCAAAATATCGAAAAAAAGGATTACACATACCAATGATAAATATTGGAAGAGGTACTGTGTTTAAACTTAACCATTACATACATAATATATTAATTATTATTATATTACATAATATATTGTTTAAATTTAACCATTACATAATATATACGTGAATCAAAATACCACATGGTACTGCATAAATATATGTACTTTTATGTTTTTCTGTACCAATTAAAAATATCAACAAATACAAAAATAACTTGAAATAATTCCATAAATTCTATCAGACCACAATGCAATAACCAATGCCAAAAGAATCCCTACATGAACTCATGGAAATTAAACAACACACTGCAGAATGATGAATGAGTCAAAAAAGAAATTAAGAAATTAAAGTGTTCCTGGAAGTAAACAAAAAGGATAATACGGCACAACAAAACCTCAATTTAAAAGCAGTTCTAAAAGGAAAGTTTATAGCTCTAAATGCCTATGTTAGAAAGAGTAAAAATAAATTACTTAACCTTGGAACTAAAGACTCTGGAAAAGCAAGAACAAATGAAACCCAAACCCAGCAGACGAGAAGAAATAACAAAAACCAGGGCATAAGTTAATGAAATAGAAACAAAGAAAACAATACAAGAATCAATGAATCTTCTTAAGAGCTGATTCTTTGGAAAGATAAACGAGATAGATATATCCTTAGCCCAGTTAACCAAAAGAAATAGCAAATCCAAATCAACAAAACCAAAGATGAAAGGGGAAACATCACAGGAGACATCAAAAAGATCCAGAACAGTATATGGGAATACTTTGAAAATTTATGCGAAATTAAATTTGAAAAA